GAATTAATCTTCAAAGTCAACATTTTTCTATGGGGATGAATCAGATGCCATTTCATCAGTTTAATGAAATGGGCCAGTTGAGGGATCCCTCTTCTACTACTCTGTTTAATTTCAACCCAATTCATAAGCCCACCTCTACGGGCCCATTGGTCATGAGGACTCTTTACGACAATTTTCTTGGGAATGATCAGAGGAAAAAGAGGAAAGGTTCGGAACTTTCTCTACAGATTCATGCTACGGAAAGGGTCACATCTGAGGATATCCCGAGTCTCCAAAAAAACTTGCTAGAGGCGGGACCTGCGTCGCAGGCCCGCCTAAACCAATGAGTTTCATATCTTGGAACTGTCGGGGGCTTGGCAACTCCACGACAGTTCAAGTCCTTGTGGACATGGTCCACTCCAAGAAGCCGGTCATTTTATTTTTAATGGAAACCAAACTTTGCTCTGTTGAAATGGAAGGTATCAAGAAGACTTTGGGCTTTGATAGTCTTTTTACTGTTGATAGTGTGGGCTCAAGCGGAGGCCTAGCCCTTTTTTGGAAGAATACGATTGAAGTTGATATTCAGACAGCTCACTAAACTTTATCGATGCCATCATCAAAACTAAAGCCATTTCCACCACTTGGCGATATATTGGTTTCTATGGAAACCCAGAAAGGTACAGAAGGCGAATCACCTGGAACCTTCTCAAACAGCTTTCTCTTGCCCCATCGCTCCCTTGGTTGTTAATGGGCGATTTCAACGACGTTATCTGCCCAGAGGAGAAAGTTGGAGGAGCTCGACAACTGAATTGGCTTATGCAGGGGTTCAGAGAGGTAATCGACTTCAGTGGTCTTAGAGATTATCAATTCACAGGTTACCAATTTACTTGGGAAAAAGGTAGAGGATCCCCTCACTGGCTCCGGGAAAAACTAGACCGCATCCTTGTTAATTGTGCATGGCTTGACAAATTTAAAGGTGCCAAAGCACAATCTTTTGAGGCCCCTGGAAGTGACCATATTCCACTAGCTATCTGGCCTTCACCACCGCCAAAAACAAGAAGAAGGAGAAGCTTCAAGTTTGAGAACTACTGGTTGAAGGAAGTTCATTGCCGCGAAATTGTTCATCAAAGCTGGTCCAATTCTGAAGGTCTGCAGTTGTGTTCCAGATTCGAATTATGCAGTCATGAAATATGGAGATGGGGAAAAGACTTCAACAAGAACATGCAACCACACATTGATAACCTCCGGAGGCAGCTTGATACTCTTAGACCCAGAACCGATACTCAGGGTATTAATGATTTTGCTGAGGTCCAAGCTCAATTTTTAAAACTTTTGGATACGCAGAAAAAATTTTGGAAGCAGAGGGCGAAACTCTTTTGGCTCAAGGGAGGTGACAACAACACGAGATTCTTCCACAATGCAGTGAAACAAAGAAGAAGGAACAACGAGATCCTCAGGCTCTGGGATCAGAATGGTGTTTGGGTACCTCAAGGCCCAAAGCTGGACTCGTTGGTAAGAGATTACTTTTCAAAAAATTTTTCTTCTGATTCTGGTAATTGCAGTCCAGTGCTTAACTATATCACAACTAGCATTACTGACTCCAACAATACTATGCTGTTAAGAAAGTTTACGGTTTCGGAAATAAGGAAAGCAGTTTTTTCTATGCACCCTGATAAGAGTCCGGGCTTTGACGGTTTCAACCCAGGATTCTTTCAATCTTATTGGGATATTCTGAGTGATAGCCTAGTTGATTTCTGTAACAATTTTCTGGCAACCGGAAAATTGCCGAAAGATATTAACACCACCCAAATCGTGTTAATACCCAAAAAAACCATTCCGGAGACCATGGCCGACCTTAGGCCCATAGCTTTATGTTTAGTTGCATATAAAATTCTAGCAAAGGCCTTGGCTAACATATTGAAAACATTGTTGGATGGTTTAGTCTCGGTGAATCAAGGAGCTTTTGTCCCAGGCAGGTTAATCACCGACAACATAATGGTTGCGTATGAAATGCAGCACTTTATGAAAAAGAAAAGTCAGGGGAAAAGTGGTATCGCAGCCCTCAAATTGGACATTAGTAAAGCCTATGACAGATTAGAATGGTCTTTGTTGCGCAATATCATGATTAAAATGGGTTTTGATGATAGGTGGATTGATCTCATCATGGAATGTGTATCTTCAGTGAGCTATTTTATTCTTCACAAAGGCCATGAATTAGGACCTATTATACCTCAACGGGGTTTAAGACAAGGAGATCCGTTATCTCCTTATCTTTTCATTCTGGTGGCCGAAGGCTTCAGTGCGATGATTAAGGATTATGAGAGAAGGGGCAGCATTCATGGATTTACTGTGGCTAGAAATGCACCATCTATTAGCCACCTATTTTTTGCCGACGATAGCTTCATATTCTTCAAGGCTGCTGCAGAAGAAGCAAATAGTCTGCATACTCTCCTTAAAGATTATGAAAAGGCATCCGGCCAATGTATTAATTTGACAAGAGTTAATTACCAAAATAGTTCCTCGACTATAGTGAAATTACCAATTTGGTCCTCGAAAATTTTTTTTGACCAATTAAATCCTCAATTTTGAAAATGTTAACCAATTTGGTCCTCCGTTAGGTTAGGTGTCAGAAATCCGTTAAAATTGAGGACATTGCTGGAATTTCACTTCTCTTTATGAGCTGCCCGGACTGCCCACGATTCTTACTTACAGAGAAAGGGAGAAAGGGCGAGTTCGAACAACAAGCATATTAATTTAACAGCAATTTCGTTCGAGTTCTCTCCAGCGAATTAATTTAGGTGGGCGGTCGAATTTCCTGGGCGAGCGAATCTTCTACGCTGGCAGCTGCAAATTGGTTTGTTCAACAACAAATTTCTGGTTGGCAGCTTGTGAATTTTGTTTCGGAAGAAAAATTTTTGGCAGAGCAAATTTCCGGCGGTGCAGAACTGTTGTTCGGCTGAGGCAATTTCTGGGCAACGAATTCCTAGCGGTGGCAGCAGTGGAGGATTTCCAGCAACAGCTTCGTAATTCCAACTGAGTAATTCTAAATTTCTGGTTGTAACAGTTTCAATTTGGGCGACAACAAGTTTCTTCTTCAGCAGCGAAGAATTTCTTGGGTTCTTGCGGATTCATTCTGGTTCGACAGCTTCAAATTCCTCCTGATGTGCAGTGGAATACTTCTCGGCTTCAGTAGTAGGGATAATTTTTGGAGCATTCTAATTTCATAATTTTCGTCCATTCCATGTTTTTATTTAATTTGCTTAGATGAATGCTGTGGTAATGATTTCATGCGATTAAGGATGTTGAGTTGTTAACTTTTTCTGCCCATGAACATGAATACATCAGTTTTTATGTTGGCTGGTGTGGCATTAGCTCTCTGGAGTTGTTTTTGAGAGTAATAAATTTAAATAAAGAGATGAAATGGAGCTTTCTCACATGAAATTCCAGCAATGCCCTTAATTTTAACAGATTTTTGATGCCTGACCTAACAGAGGACTAAATTGGTTAACTTTTTTAAAATTGAGGACTTCATTGGTCAAAAAAAATTGTCGAGGATCAAATTGGTAATTTTGCTGTAGTCGAGGGACTATTTTGGTAATTAACTCATTTGACAAAGTCCACTTTGGCTTTCAGCAGAAACACTCCCCTTTCTGTGAGGAATCAGTTGAGTGACATACTGGGCATCCAACATAGTGGCAGCAATGGTAACTACTTGGGACTCCCGATGATGATGGGTCGGAATAGGACTGGAATTCTCAATTTCATCAAACACCGTACAGTAAGCCGCATTCATGGGTGGAACCACAGATTTATCTCTAGAGCTGGGAGAGAGATTCTCTTGAAAACAGTTCTCCAAGCCCTCCCGACCTATGCCATGGGGGTTTTCCTTCTACCCAAGGGATTGATCAAAGCTATCGAGTCCACCATGAATTCTTATTGGTGGAAAGGGGGAGGCAGCGACAGCAGAGGTATAATCTGGAAGAATTGGAATTTTTTGTGCAAGCCCAAGAAGTGGGGAGGTCTCGGCTTCCGGGATCTCCATGATTTTAACCTTGCACTTCTTAGCAAACAAGCATGGAGACTAACCAGTGACACAAACTCCTTGGCCTCTAAAGTTTTCAAAGCAAGATATTTTCCTGACTCTTCCTTTCTTGATGCTAAGCTAGGTGCCAATCCGTCCTTCATTTGGAGTAGCTTAATGGCAACACAAGATATCATCCGCAAACATTCACGATGGAGGATATGGAATGGATCCAAAACTCGCATTTGGAGTGATAATGGGCTGCCAGACATGAACAATCCAAAGGTTGTGTCATTCCCTTTCCCTTACATGGAGAACTCCTTGGTGGAAGACCTTGGCCCTGTTTGGTAAAAAATTGGCCTATAGGCCAATTTTAGCTTATTTGACCACTATTAATTGTTTGATTTAGTTAAAATATCAATATAAATGTTTGGTTAATTAACTTTTTGCAACTCCAAAAGGCTAACAATCAAAAAGCTACTCCAAGCAACTTTTTCAATTAGCTTTTTGAGAAAAGAAATTATACCAAACAGCTATCAGTCAGCAAATTTACCAAACACTTTTCTACAATCAGCTAATGTTATCAACTATTTATACTTTCTAATTAACACAATCAGCTAACTGCTAACAGCCATTTTACCAAATAGGGCCCTTATTAATCCCAATACTCTTAACTGGGATGAATCCACCATCCGGGATATTTTCTCAACCAGAGATGCTGATCTTATCATGAAGATACCTCTTCCAATCCAGAATATGCAGGACAAGATCATATGGGGTCCAGAAGATAATGGGAAGTTCTCGGTCAAAAGTTGCTACAGGGCTATTCGTGGAGTGCTAAGTGATGATACTACCAAAAAAATGGAGCTGCATTTGGCAGTATAGAATCCCTCCAAAAGTTAAAACATTTTTATGGCAGGCTTGTATCTCTTGCATTCCCACAAAGGATAAGTTGAGGCAGAGGCATGTGGATTGTACAGACAATTGTAATCTCTGTTGCATGGGTACAGAATCTATCATTCACCTTCTTGCGGATTGCGACTATGCCAAGGCATGTTGGAATAAGCTTCACTTCTATTCACTCAATATTGACACTGATGACTTCCAGTCGTGGCTATGCAATGCTCTGGATGTTCTTTCCAATGATCAATTCTGCACCCTCTCTATTGTCTGCTGGAATATATGGAATCTCAGGAACAATATTATTTGGAAAAATTGGACCATAGAGTTTGTGGATAGTCTGATATTCAAGTCCAAATCTTATTACTCAGCCTGGCTTGCAATGACATCAGTTGAGCAGCATAACCGTGAGACTGATGTGCCTAATGAACAATGGAAAAGACCACAGCAAGGATTCATGAAAATGAATGTTGATGCGGCTATCAACATAGGTGACGGTTGCATGGGTGTTGGTTGTGTTCTAAGAGACGATCAGGGAGTCTTTGTGGCAGCAAGGAGTGCTAACTGGAGAGGCGTCCTCACCTCAAGAGAGGCAGAAGCATTAGCAATCCGTGATTCTCTAATCTGGCTCAGATCTCACACAGAAAGCAACATTCTTGTTGAGACTGACTCACAACAGGTTGTTCAATGTTATAATTCGAACTTAGGAGATTCCTCTTTCCATTTACTTTTAGCAGATATCAAAAACTTAATGAGTATGTTTGCTCATAGCAGTTTAGTCTTTGTCAAGCGATCTGCGAATCAGGCGGCCCATCTGTTAGTTAGGCAGTCTGTTTCTGTGTCTGGTTGCTCGGAGTGGTTCATGAACCCTCCCCTATCATTTGTAATACTCTCCTTTCGGATTTGATTTAATGCATTCGTACTTTGGTTTTCAAAAAAAAAAAAGTGGGATTGATGTTTCGATCTTTATTTTTTGTAGGTGAGCCCCACAGGGTGGTGACAAGCGGCTAGGGATAGAACAAAACGAAACCTCGGCAGAAGCTTTCAAGTTTCAATCTTCTGTCGTGTTATGAAACGTGGCATGTTGCCCTTTCTTAGATTCTAGTTTTGTGCCTTGGATGTCCACACATGTAAATTAGTCAAGTTATTCAAATTCCTCAATAAATATTTAAAATCAATTTAATTATTTTTAAGTCTAGTTTAAGTTCGAATTCAAATAACAAAACAAACCAAATCAATTTAATTATTTTTAGTAAACCTTTTAATGATTTTTAATACATACATTTTATATATAATAAATATTATATTACAAATTCAGTAATAAAATGACCACAATACAGATGTAATTTTTATTTTAATTATGATATTTAATTGTAACATATTTATTATTACTTTTGTGGAAGAAAATAAAAAAATTATTAATCCATTTTAAATTGAGCTTGAATAACTTGAATTTGAGTCAAGTTAAACTCAAACTAAAAAATTATAGTTCAAACAAACTCAAGCCGCATTTTGAATTTTGAGTTTTGACTATTCAATCTCAACTCAATCACTCCTTTGACAATAAAAATTTTGTTTGAATATAATATTACTCCATATTAAATTACAAGAGCCCTTAAATTAAGCAATTAATCAAAACTAATATAACATACATTTTTTTTTATTATTCCCTCCATCCCATTTTACATGTTCAATTCGATTAACGAGATTTAATTGAAGTATTTATAATTCAATTTATTGTAATATTTAACTTAGTGTTAATACATAAAATTATATATTTTGAAAATATATCAAACGCATTATTAAACACAAAACCAATAAAAAGAGCAAAATTGACCAATGAATAATAAACCGAGAAAATAAAAGTATAACTTAGATAGAAAGTGATTAGTTACCCTACCCGAGTCTAAAGGCATCAACTCAAACCAGCTTGGTTGTTCGTGACTTCGTGAGTGACTGTGCAATCTCATGCCTTAAGAGAGGTCGAGAGTTCGAGCCCCCTCTTGTATGAAAAAACCAATTTCGCTAGCCATTAATTAGGCCAATCCGGTGCGAATGGGTATTAGTCTGAGTATGGTAAGGGCTTAAAGGTGCCTCCTACAGTTAAGACCTGCTCAAGACACCTCATGGCCTGACCAAAAAAAAAAAAAAAAAAAAGGGCATCGACTCACAAGACTCGAATTTGAAAGGCAATGCTCAACACCACAAGGCAATTGGGTTTGAAAGAGATTTGGTTCATCCTCTGCACTTTCTTGTATGCATAGAGAGAATATTTTGAGCATGTCCGGTAATCTCTCCACCTACTTCTATTTGGACCTTTGGAAGAACTCATGACGATAATGTCTCGTGAAATTCATAACTCCACCACAAATGCTATCTGAACCGGCCTCAAATATATGGCGAGTACCTTTTTTGCCACCCCTTTCTTGCACTTCTCCCGATTCCAGTCAAATATGAAGTCCTCACGTCTGCTATGAAGAACGTTGCACACACCTTTCCCGCAAATTTTTCTCACAAGTCTCTACTCGTTTATTCTGCAAGATTTGCGACACATAAAACAAAAAATCTTAAAATGATGGAACAAATAGTAGATTTGGATAGAAAATAGCATCTATTGTTTCATTGCTTGATGAACTAATGCAAAACAATATACAGTAGATTAGACATTTTCATGGCCTCTGCATAATAACTAGACAGAATCAGCATTTTTAGCAGCAATATGTTCCATACATTGATCATATCAAAACAGAGCGATTCAATTTAGGGTGGATTGTACCTGTTATTCTCAAACAGCTGCATTTCCTATACAAGACCGAACCCCAAGCAGTTCAGACATTTCTGAACCCTACAAAAAAGACAAGCAGGACAACTCTCGATGTCAGATACTAACTCAATTGATCTCAATTCTCAAAGGAAAATGATAAAACTACTCCCTAGAGTAAAAATATTTCCCAATATAGCACATTAAGATTGGCGATTTGGTGATCATATCAAATCAGAATGTATTATGATTGCATTTGATTGAACCATTTGAACGTATAACTAATCGCAGTAGTTCACATCAGAAGTATTTTCACTCCCGGAGTCCCTATAATATTACTCAAAAGATAAAAACTTTATGTGCCACTGAAATCGTGAAAATTTGAAGAGAAAAATGGCCTTACTTGTTTCCCTCACAGGTGGGACAAACACATGGGTTAATCACCAAAGGATCATACAATGGTGACCATTGTATTGTACCCTTTGCTTTGCATAACTTACAGGTATAATAGCCTCTTCCTTTGCATACCCCACAGGGTTTTCCATGTTTCTCCTGAATGACCATACACAAAATTCAAACAACAATGATAATAATAATATTTGCTTTTTCCAATTTTCCCATTGTAAAAATCATGAGTTTTTTCCTATTTTGGTCCCTGGACTACGATATTGCTTCCAAATTAGGTCCTGACTATCAAGATTTTTAATTTTGGTGCATGACTATTCAATTGCTTCCACATTTGATTCTGTTTCAATTTTTCGGCCAACCTAAGCCAGGAATATATCCCCCGCCTAGCCCTCATACCCGTGTAGGTATAAAAATTCCCCCATCCAGCACTCATTACCCAAATTATGCGGGTAGTTTAATACCCGTTAGAGCAGGGATACCCATTACTCAAATTGTGTGGGTATTTTAATACCCGTTAGAGCAGGGATACGGGGAACCCATGGGATGTGGATAGAATTGTCATCCTAGTACCTACTATTCAGCTTAGATTGACAGAACAAATTAAACTAGAGATCAAATGTGAAAGAAATTGAATAGTCGTGCACAAAAAATTAAAAATCGTGATAGGACCTAATTTGGGAGGGTTATTAACTTATTATAGTCCGGGTATCAAAAGTGAAAAAAAAAAATTCAAAAATTATAGAATAATAGTAGCTGACAACAACAATAGTACAATAGCACTTGCTAGAGAAAATTCCACAAAATATGATAAGAACACACAATTGAAAAGTTCACTCCACAAATTTTACTAGGCATACTTCTATAAAAAACAATACATTTAATATTATTTGCAGAATCTAATTGGGGAATTTCGTTGGAATAGGGAAAATTTATAGCAAAGAACAATACAGAAAAAGAAATGAGATTTAGAAACATGCTTACTCTTTTGAGCGCGGAATTACGGCGGTGAATGGAACCGGCGACTGCTCCGACGGTATAGATAGCGCCGACAATTACTGAGGCGCCGACAGCTAACGCCCGAAATAGTTGTGGAACGCCACCTCCGGCTCCGGTTCCGGCCATCTCACCAATCGCCGCCACACTCACAGAGCCACAGAGGATTAGCCGTGAAAGACGAGTGATTGTGGGTTTAAGACTGGTTAAATGATTGGGCTTCTTACACAATTGAATTTAGGCTTTATTTATCGTGGAAAAAGTCCACAATTTATATTATGGACCTTGATGCAAAATGAAATCATTTTACTTAAATTAGAGTTTTTTTTTTTTTTTTTTTTTCTTTTTGTTTGGTTAACATTCACTTTTATTGTAGATATATACTAGTTTTTTTACGCACTTTGCGCGAATGGAATAATTCCTAATGATTTTTTTAAATAAGTACTTCAAAGTATATTAATGTAATATTATATCAGAGATGTTCATCAGTTCATGCATAGGTAAATAAATATTGAATATGTTTATTTAAATCAGTAATTTAAAGTATATAAATGCAAGATAATATATGAGAGATTGATTATATTGTCACTAAAATAAATGTTTGCAACTTTGTAATAACGTTAGTCTAAAAACGATAGTCTAAATAAATACTACTTTTGGTTTAAATTTCTCTAATTCTTCTTAATTCTCTTTTGGGTAGCACTATCATTGTCTTTAACCCGGGGTGGTAGCTCAAATGGTAAATGTGCTCTCTTCGTGGGGGAGAATTTTGGAATAACCCAGGTTCGATTCCCACAAGCGACGATTCCCCTCGGGTCCTCTTCGCCTAGAGGAGCGAACAGAGATTAGTCAGGTGGACCAAAGAAATGGACCGAAAAACTTTCAGTATCGGTAGTGTGTCACATCTTTTTTTTTTTATCAGTAGTGTGTCATGTGCAAGAAGCTTTAGCTTTATCAGTATCTTAGTTGTACTCATGGTTGCAGTAGGCGCCAGGGCAGCGCCTAGGCGGAATCTAGGCGGCTGTACTCATGGTTGCAGTAGGCGCCAGGGCAGCGCCTAGGCGGAATCTAGGCGGGCGCTAAAAAAACAGTGGCAGACGTGCAGTTTGACAATTTTAATGAGGCTATTTTCAACATTCAATCAAATAACACATCCAAATAAATGAAATAATGATAATTCATAAGTCATAACATCAAAATAATATTAAAAATACTCAAATACTTCAATCATCCAATGATTCAAAGTATCAAACTAGTCTACAAGTGTATATATGTCATATTATATATATATATATATATATATATATATATATATATATATATATATATATATATATATATATATATATATATATATATATATATATATATATATATATATGTATGTATGTACACACACACACATATAATGAAAAAAAATTAGCAAGGCCGAGCTGATCGGATTAACTCGACCAAAATGAACGAGTTAACTCGGCTAAGTTAGACGCTGGGCGGCTGCCTAGGCGGCCAAGTCGGCCGAGTTAGGCGTGAGGCGGACGCCTAGGCGGGCGCCTAGGGAGGAAACCGCCACGGTCTAGGGGCGCCTAGACCGATTTTTGCAACAGTAGTTGTACTATTAACTATTTATCTTACAAGCACCTATTGATATTTGGTAGTGATAGTTTTTCCCCTACATGTTTCATGCGTTGTGAGATGTGTGTTGTAGGTTATCATGTGAAAGTATTGAACAAAATATTATATTTATTATATTTATATAAAATACTTGGTAAATAAATATATTAATAAATTTGAAGGTAATGAATCTTTGAATTGTCGAAAATAAAGATAATATAACTAATGAAATTATATCTCTTTTTAAATTTTTTATAATGAATAATTTTTTTTTAAAAAAAATAAAGGCATTATAGACATCTAATTTTAAATTAATTAAATGCATATATATTATTTTTTGTTGTAGATACTAATTTATTTGATTTAATAAGAGTAATAAAGTGGCGTACATACTTTTCATTAACAATCAACAATAATGAAATTATTACTCCCTCTGTCCCATTTTGTTTGTCTGGTTCGATTAACGAGGCTTGACTGAAGCTATTTTTACTTTAATTTTTCATAATATTAAGTTTATTTTAGTATATAAAATTTATATATTTAGAAAGTACATTAAAAGTACTATTAAACATAAAAAATTAAATTTAAAAATAATTAAAAATTACTAAAGAAAATAAGCAATGAAGAAAGAGTTAGATTGACCAATGAATAGTAAACAGGACAGGCAAAATGGGACAGAGGGAGTATTATTTTTTATTTACATTCGTTGTTGAGACAAATTGTTTTAAGAGTTTGTCAATGACAATTGTTACGATTCCTGTCAAAATAGAAGATGATAATAAATAATTCAAAATATATAGTTACAATAGATATTGTTATAATGATATAGTAAAAATTAACTTACAAATTTCTTTAGAAGTTTTCATGCATTATTATAAAATTATGATGTGTAAACTTGATCAATTGGAGCTAGTGGGATGCCAACATTGTCAATTCTTTGAAAATGGTCCTACCTTTTTAGAGTCCAGGTGTAATTGTATTTATGATCAACAACTTTGTAGTTAGGTCGCGCAGGTCTGACAATGATGTAAGAACAATTTTGTCCGATAAAAAAATAATAGTATGATATTTGTAAAGTAATGTACAATTGTACCATTATAAAAATATATACAGAAAGTATTAATATCATAATGACCTAAATCATACCAATAATGCAAAAGTATAATTGAAATATTAAGTTTTGTTCTGATCTAAACAATCAAAAGAAGATTAATTAAACGGAAAAAAAAAAAAACTTAACCTAAATTTGTTTTTTTTTTTAAATGCATAAAAATCAAATGATTTTTAAAGTTCTTGATTTATAAACTTTGATGCTTAAATTTGAATGTTATGTATTTAGTCGGACTAATTATTTGACCAAAGTTTATATTAAATTTTATATTATATATTTTTAATACATTTTAACATATTTGCAGGATATGTTTAACAATTATGCTAACTCTAATTGGAATGAGGTTTGAATCTAAAACCTTTCTTATAGAAATTAATGACTAAGTTAAAACTAATAAATAGTTAACGGAATGTTCCGTTACTAAAGTTTATACTAACGGAATTTAGGTTATTTAAGGGAAGAAAATAATACAATAGATGGTAAATAAGGAAAATCATTAAAAAAAAAATTAAAATCAAAATAATATGAACTATTCATTTTAAGAAATAATACTACCGACATTTTTTTTTTATTCCAGTTAAGGGCCTATCATTATTGGCTCTTATTAGGATGGTAGAAAAATGCATAAAAATCAAATGATTTTTAAAGTTCTTGATTTATAAACTTTGATGCTTAACTTTGAATGTTATGTATTTAGTCAGACTAATTATTTGACTAAAGTTTATATTAAATTTTATATTATATATATTTTTAATACATTTTAACATATTTGCAGGATATGTTTAACAATTATGCTAACTCTAATTGGGATAGAGTTTGAATCTAAGACATTTCTTATAAAAATTAATGACTAAGTTAAAACTAATAAATAGTTAATGGAATGTTCCGTTACTAAAGTTTATACTAACGGAAGAACAAATTGCACTTTTGGTCCTGTGAGTATTAGGGTACTGACAATTTGAGTACGTGACTTTCAAAACTCCCAATTTAAACCTTTAACTATGCAAAAATTGACAGATTTGGTCCTCCAGGCCAAATTGCCGGCCAATTTTGGCCGGAAAAACATAAATTGGTTCAAATTTATTTGTATTGAGGGCAAAATCGTCATTTCACTCCCTTCTTCTTCATTCTCCCTTTCTTCTTCGTTCTTCTTCTTCTTCACTCACCGGTTTTTCTTCAAAATCATCATTCTTTTGCCTGCTATGCACTATAGGGAAATTCAAAAGAAAAAAAAAAAAAAGAAGCAGATTATAGTAATTTCTTTCTCCGAGTTATCGCCTCTTCTTTCCTTTCTTCCTTCCTTTCACTTCTTTCTCTAAGCTTCTGACCTTCTGACTGAGAAGCGCGGTTGGCTGTATCTGTTGGCTCGCAGTTTTGGTTGCTTCCACAGCTGCTTGTTTCGCTTCGTACTCTTTAGCCGCTGCAAGCTTCTTAACCGCTTCAAAAAACGGGAGGCCTGAACTTTGATCAGCGCGTGGAGGTGCCGGGGGTATTATAGGTACACCGAGGAGTTTCTTCACTTGAGGCCTTTTAATTACTGATAAAACAAGGTAACAGACAGTGTTATAACTTAAAGAGAAAATATTGTTACCCAAAAGCTTGGCCTGGCAACTGGCATCTTTAGAAATGAAAATAGATAAAATTTGCAGAGCAAGTACCTTTGGGAAACTTGCAATAAATGGGATTGATAGTGCGGCCATTGCTCTTGAAATATTTTTTATGGTGCCATACGAAGGATTTCCTTCCATTCCTTCTTGTGCATTACACTGAGGAAAGAGCAAAGTACAAATTCACAAATTAACTACAAAAATTTGGGATTGACAGTGCGGCCATTGCTCTTGAAACATTTTTTATGGTGCCATACGAAGGATTTCCTTCCATTCCTTCTTGTGCATTACGCTGAGGAAAGAGCAAAGTACAAATTCACAAATTAACTACAAAAATTTAAGACCAAGGAAGATGCTTTCAAAGCATCAAAAGTGACCCCAAAAAGCATCATCTATCCTTCTGAGATTTTGAACTGAAAAATGTTGTTTTGCACTTTTGCAATAACATACAAAAGAAGATGGAAAAGGCGATAAAATTTGTATCTGATTAAGTTAGTAAGAAATGGGCACATAATTATGAAATGAAATCTGACCTCCACTGTTATCCACGAAGAAGAAAGGGAGAATGAAGAAGAAGGGAGTGAAATGACGATTTTGCCCTCAACACAAATAAATTCGAACCAATTTATGTTTTTCCGGCCAAAATTGGCCGGTAATTTGGCTCGGAGGACCAAATCTGCCAATTTTTGCATAGTTAAAGGTTTAAATTGGGAGTTTTGAAAGTCACGTACTCAAATTGTCAGTACCCTAATACTCACAGGACCAAAAGTGCAATTTGTTCCTAACGGAATTTAGGTTATTTAAGGGAAGAAAATAATACAATAGAGAGTAAATAAAGAAAATCATTAAAAAAAATACTAAAAGCAAAATAATATGAACTATTCATTTTAATAAATAATACTACCGACATTTTTT